GATGAAATATTTTAATTCTTTACACATTATAGTCCACTATTGATCTTTAATTATTTTATATATAACATGTAATTTACTTACTTATATATGTATACATGTCTTAAAGAACAATATATATTTATATGTAAGACACACACACTAAGTGAAATATTTAAATGAGTTAAGAAAAACTATGGAAAAACAGCTCTCAAAATAGAATCAAACCTTTAGCTCATACTTTATACTAACATTTTTATTGAAGAATTTCTCATGTGTTTTTATGATATTTATGCTTATTTCTATTCAAGCAACATGATTTGTAAACCTTCTTCAAAAGAGCAATCTCTCAAATTAACATCGTACACTGCACTGAGACTAGGATACAAGCTGTCCTCTGTCAGAAGTTGAGTTATTTCACTTTTTATTATTGAGTTGTAAGAATTCTTTATATATTCTGGATACAAGTTCCTTATCAGATGTATGATTTGCAAATATATTCTGTTCTGTGGGTCTTTCCACTTTCTTATGTCGTTTGAAGAACAAAAGGTTTAAATTTTGATGAAGTTCAATTTGTTTACTTTTTTTGTTGTTGTTGTGTTGCTTCTGGTGTCATATCTAAGAGTCCCTTGCCAAATCCTTTGGGACGTGAAGAGTTACTATCTTTTGCTCTAAGAGTTTTATAGTTTTATCTTGAACGCCCCTGCCATTATAGCTTTGTTGCCTGTTAACTTCATCTTGATTTTTAAAACAGAAAAGTAATTTTGGATCAATACTTATTTATATTGACCTACATATTTGTTTCAATTTCTTTCTCAAAATTGCTTCTTGAACTCTGTTCCTTCTTTGAGATTCAATTACCTGCTTACTGAAGCACATGCTTTGGTGTCCTTTGTTGGGTATTTGAGGTAATGAACTCTGTTTTAATCATTTTGTCTAAGAAGCTTATTCACCCTTATTATTTATAGATACTTATTGAAATATATGTGCAGAAAAGTGCACATGGGGTACAGATCATGAATTTCCACAAACTGAACACACCTGTGTAAGCAGCACCCAGAATAAGAAAACAAGACATCACCAGCCCCTCCACAGCCCCTGCACCCCTCGCCAGACCCTGACTTCTCTTCCAGGGGTAATCACTTTCCTGAATGGGTGAGTTTGGCCTGTTTTTAAACTTTATATAAGTGGAATTATGCTTATGTACTCTTTTGAGCATGGTCTCTTTTCTCAACATCATGTCTATTCAATTCATCCATATTGTTACATGTCATCTTAATTGTAGTTGTGAATTTTTGACTGTTTTTAAAATCCATTTAGGTGTTGGTGGATATCTGGGTCACGGCAAGTTTTGGCTACTACTCTCAGAGCTGCTACAAACATTTTTTGTTTCGGTATTTTGGTAAATATATGTGCACTTCTGATCTTTGGAAAAACATATGTCAGATTTTACTAGGTATTGCCAAGTCGTGTTCCAAACTGGCTGCACTAATTTACACTCCTCTCAAAAGGAGGACACAAGGTAGAGAAAGACGAGGAAAGGGATGGCTGTGTTTTTCACTAGAAACCCTTATCTATCTAATCTGATCTAAACAACAAAGAAGTTTATTTCTTTTCTCACACAGAAGTCCACAGGCATGCTGGTGTGCTGGCCCCATGAAATCACTGGACACTCCTTCTATATTTCAATTCCACCTCCCAGTGTGTGGCTTTTATCTCATGGTCAACTTATTGTCCAAGGTGGCTCCTCGAGTGTAGACATTATCTCAAAAGTGTAGAAAGAAGAGGAGGACAGACAGGTTCTCCTACCAGCTGATTGGTCTTTAGACAGTTTTTACTGGGAAATTCATTTTTATTAATTTATGAGATACACATGCACATATACTATTAACCCAGTCTATCTTGTATGTGAGATACACATTTTATACCTAATCACTTGCTTTTTAACTTAATTCAGAAATTAGTAGTGTTTATAGTAAAATCTCTTAGCATTTTGTTTTTGCTTTTTGTGTCATTCTTAGGCCTCTCCACTCAAGATTATAAAAATATTCATCTATATTTTTTTCCAAGTGGCTTTATATGCTAATACTTAGTGTTATTTTAAACTTGAAATCCATTTGAAATCAATTTGTTGTTATACATGAAAAGGTACTCAAATAGTTTCCTACTGGTTTAACAATTTGGACTAATGTCATGGATCAACAAAGGTTTTCATTTCCCACTTTCAACATATGAAAAACTCACATAAGTGTTTCATTTGTCTGCATGTGTTTTCTAGAGATGCTTACACTGTGCTGATTCTTGCAGTTTTGTAATATGTATTGGTGTCTTTTTTAGTAGGTTCTTCCTAATTGTTCAGAAAGGAGCAACTAGAGTGGGTGGAAGTGGGAATAGACATGAAATTAAAGATGATGTGGGCGAGGGAAATAGCTCAGTGGTAGAGCTCATGCTTAGCATGCATAAGGTCCTGGGTTTAATCCTTGGTACCTCCGCTGGAAAAAGAAAAAGATTATTAGAAATGAAACAAGGACAGGATTTGGTTCCAGACTATACACCAGGTAATGAGGGTCAGGGAAAGGACTGAAATTCCTAGAATGGGAGACTGGAGGAATGTTGTTTCCAGTGACAGAATTAAGACAGAAGGATCTGCAGCTTGGGGAAGGGTGTTATGGTGAGGCAGGGACCATGTATTTCAGAATTATATTTTAAAAATTAAAAATAGAATACCACACGAGCTTGTAATTCCAGTTCGGGGTATACACCCACAATAATTAAAGGCAAGGTCTCGAAGAGACAGTGGTCCACCCACGTTCACAACAGCATCATTCACAAAGCTGAAATGTGGGAACAGCCCAAGTGCCCATCAGTGGATGAATGGATAAGCAAAATGCGATGTACATATAGAGCAGAATATTCTTCAGCCTTAAAGGGAATTCTGCAATATGCTATGATATGGCTGAACGTTGAGGACTTGCTGGCCAGTGAAACAAGCCAACTGCAGAAGAACAAATACTTACGATTCCACTTGTATGAGGTTCCTAGTGTGGTCAGATCCACAAACAGGAAGTAGAAAGGTGGTAAGCAGAGGCCGGTGGAGGGGGCTTTGGGGAGTTACTGTTTACTGGGTGGAGAACTTCAGTTTGTAAGATGAAAAGAGCTGCTGGGATGGATGGTGGTGATGGCTGCATGTTATAAGTATATTTAACACCACTGAAGTAGTCAGGATGGTACATTTTATATGTATGTTAGTACAGGTTTTAAAAATGAAAAAAAAAAAAAGAGGCCTACGTGCTACTTATTTTTCACTTTGGTCTCCTGAAGAAGTAGCTCAGAGAGGTATAATGCCTACTTTAGTCAAAACTTCTGACTGCAAGAGACAGAATGCAACTAAAGCAGAAAAGAAAACTGGGGCACAAACAGAATTCAAGCTTGTAGACGCCTCAGGGAAAAATGGCCCAGACCACAAAGGCCATCACTGGGACTTTTCCCTACATTCACTGCTCGGCCGCTGTCCGCTTCACTCTAAGTCTTGGGATCTGCCTTCACCCCCAACTGAAGCTAAGGCTTTCCCTACAAGGAGGAGGATGAGCAAGAGCAGCTCCACCCTCCAGTTTTCACACTCAAAGACAGCACCCTTGCATCTGTGCAGCATCCATTTACACAGTCTTGGCAAATACATTCCTTGAGCCACACGCCCCCACACCTGGGCAGTTGCTGTGGCCAAACAGCTGCACTGGCAGTAAGGAGGGTGGGCCAGGATTGCAGCCCCCAGAACAGGAAAAATGGGCTGGACAGACACGGTTACCACCACTACAACCCCATTTTAATTTTATAAATTGGGAAATTGGAGTTAAAGAAAATTTAACTTGTCAAAAATGACATGACAGTAAAATGGCTAGTAATGCCAATGAGAGACACCTTTCATGACCCTGACATTTTCAGACCCTCCGTCTTTCTGGCTGTCGTGGGTGTCAAGTGGCAGTAAGGACTTTGAGATACTTGAAATCGGCTGTTTTAAACAGGGACGAATACAGCCTAATTAACAGTAGCTTAATAAAGAGCACTTCATTTCTAGGGAGTTGGAGGGGTTCAAACCCAACCCTGCCACCTGATAGCTGTGGGACCTTGGTAAACCGAAGGAGCTTTAAGTGAGCGAGGAGCTACACGCTAAATGAGGAGACAGTAAAAGAGACCTGGAAAGCGCGAGGCACAGAGCTCACCTAGCCCAAGCACTGCAGTACCAGTGCCGGAGTCAGTGACCGCTCACTCCTTCCAGCAGAGAACCTCTCATCTCGGTTTTTCCTGAAAGTTATGCTCTCGGTACAGCTATGAGTATCCTACTCTTAGACCGCAGAGGATCAGGGGAGTCCCCAGACTCTTCTGTGAAAAAAACAGGCTGTTTTCCTCTGCGCAGACCCCAGGCCCCAGCCAGGTGAGCTAAGGGCTGGACAGAGCATTAACGCTCAGTACTGCCAACATCTGCCTTTCCTCCATGTTAGGTGTATCTGGATTATGATGGGCTGGCACCTGCCCAGAGTTTGGATTTCGTTTGTGATCCTCATTGGAACTGAAGCTAGAGTTTATCATTCCCAGTGATCACACACATATTAATCAAACTGCTTACTCAGTACACATCTGGGCACAGAGATTCTTCCTTTTAAACACAGCCCAGAGGGAAGGGTCAGCCAACAGCCTCAACCTAACGCAGCTCCCCAGGTGCCCCTGGTCTCCAGGTGCCCCTTCAAAATGTAGACTGAATCACTTCTCGGCCTTTTGGCTAAGCTCAAGTGTAGTATATGTTCTAATCAGACTGAATCTGCCACGTCCTCTATCTGAACACAGTATACTAAACGGTTTTTGGAGCAGGGAGTTGGAATAGGCGCTTGCTCCGTCCACTCCGTGCACTGGCCTGGTATTGCAGTACCTCCAGGAGCAATGCACCAAAAGAAAAACAAAAGCAGACTGAAGCGCAAATCCAGCTGAAAGAGAAAGCCCCACAGTGTAGCTGGACACAATTATTCCCCTCAGATGAGGCTGGTGCGGCAGTGGGAGAGAAGGACGGGATAAGAGGAGATAAAGAAGGCTGAAATTCTTGAGAGAGCTCTGGTAACTGATGGAAGGGTGCTATCTACACCCTCTGGGCCTCGGTGATGGTCTGTTTCAGCCCAATTTATCATGCTTCATGAAGTTGTAAGTGAAGCACCCCTGTTTTAATCTTAGAAAAGCTGATTTTCATCTTGGCCTGCCGTCTGTGGTGGGAACTGCTGTGGAGCCTTTGAAGAGGTTCTCAGGAGTGATTCTAACTCCTGAAATGGGAAATCTTGTCTCGAGTTACAGACTACGTGAACTATACAGAATAAGAAACTGAAGAATATGGAACGACAATATTTAATTGCACAGCACAAAGCTTTAAAATGCGCGCACAGAAAAGTACAGTACATCAGCCCTTTCTCCACTCAGTAACTGCTTTTCTTTCCCGTCCTTACACATTCAACATAAATAACAATGCTTTCTTGTGGGGTGTTTGGCTAACCCAGAGGTAGCATAAGACTTCATAAATATTCTGGTCTCTACTTCTGAAGAACAACTGCCAGAACACCTGCACATGTGGCAGGCGGCAACAGCCTCCAGAGCCATTTACATTTGCAGCAAAACAAAACACACAAAGAGAAAATATATCCAGTGTGGGAAATCTTGCCTGATGTCAGACTATGCTCCCATGCACCAGGAACCGATACTCAGAATTTTGTTGAACATTCATCATTCAACATGTTACAGAAAACAAATGGTACACTCGAATTATTCGCTCAAGAACATTTAGTAAAGGGACTCCTTACAGAGTTGTGTTCAGAATTAAGAAAACCAAGCAGGGATGGTGAAGCCCCTGCAGCAGTCACCACCTTTCAGTCTGATGGGCAGGGAGAGGGAATGTGGTCAGATGGGAGCTGCAGCCCAGCCGCTCAGGACACAGACGCTGTCAGAAACGTGGTAGAGGGAGGAGGGACCCACACTCCGACCTCTCTCTCTCCCCACTCTCTCCCGTGTGCTCATGGCTTACCAGCACCTCCCATGTTCAAACCCAAGCAGAAACCCAAGGAAGCAGTCTGGAGAGGGCAGCCTCTGGGTGCAGAGCAGAGAAAGGAGACGTGGATTCGTGGAGAATGCTTGGCACACATACGGATCCACAGTGCGGACAATTCCCACCCTGTATCTGCTGCTACAGATACAGGTCATCCTGAGCCCCAGGGAAACAGGCTTCTGACTCAGATGACGCAGTCTGTGCGACTATTTTTAGAGTCGTACTTAAGCGCTACTGTTCCCGTACACTTTACTTCTAAATAGACCATAACCCCTGATGTGTTGTCATTCCTTTGGCTTTAAGCGGTCCATTACCTGTTTAAAAGATTTTCAAATGAGAAAAAAAAAATGTCATAGTCACCCACAGAGTCACCATTTCCACTCAGCAGACTTCCTACTGCCCCCAAACTCCCTTCAGTGTGTCCTGAAGGCAGGCCGACAGATGAGGAACACTCTCTTGATTTTGCTTTTTCTGAAGAAGTCTTTTTGGTCCTCTCTTTTGAAAGACAGTTTTGACGGGCAACTGAACTCCAGGTTCCAGGTTCCCTTCCGTAAGTTAATGATGTCACTCCGCCATCTTCTAATTTGCAGTTTCCGACCAGACGTCAGTTGTCATTCTGGTGTCTTTTCTTCTCCAGGTGTCTTCCACTTGTTTGAACACTGGGTTTCATCAGTTTGACTACCATGTCCATTGGCTTGATTTTCTTTGTTTCTACTGTGTTGGGTTCTCTGAGCTTCTTGACTAGGTCGAGCTACACTTTTCATGGTATTGGGTATTTTTCAGTCATTATTTGTTCACGTCCTTTTTTCTGCGCCTCCCTTCTCCCCTTCTGTGACTTACATCCCCACTCCGTGAGGATTACACCACTGTAATGACTTCCGTTCTCTCCCCTCCTTCCCATTCTTTTTCTGTGTGTACCACTTGGATAGTTTTTATTCTTATTCTGCAAATTCATTGATTCCTCCCCCCCTTTTCTATGTCTAATCTGTTCTAAATTCCATCCGTATTTTTTTTTAAATTTTCAGATGTTGTTTTCATCCTGAGAAGTTCCATTAGGGCTTAAAAAAACATATCTTCCACTTCTGGTTTCATCAAATTCATGTTTCCCTCTACTTTATATTTACAGTAGCTAATTGAACATCCTAGTCTACTAATCCAACCACTTCAGTCTTTCTATCTATTGACTGGTTTTCTCCTGGTTATGAGTCATTTGTTCCTGCTTCTTGGAATGCCAGTTAAGTTTCTGGAGGCCAGACCCTATGGGTCCAGGCTGGCTTTCAATCTAGGGTTAATGACTTTCACTACCAAGACGATACTCTTCTGGGAACCCTCCCTGGTGCCCACATGTTAGAAGTTGTCTCCACCAGCCTGGTGGGCACAGGAAGTGTCCCCAGCCCTGCACTGAGCTCAAGGACTCACTCAGCTGACTGCTCCTCCTGGCTGTTTCCTTTCACACACACACATGCAAGTCAGCACCAAAGCCAAAGGTTCAGGGTAAGGTGCCCCCTGGAGACTTCTGTAGCCCCCAACGCTCCCGCCAGGGAAGCTCCCTCCTACCCAGTATTTTTCCCTGCAAATTCCAGCTACTGTGGCTCCTCCAATGAGGGCCACTCGCCCCTCTCTCTTCGGTTCAGCAGGACAGGTTTCTGCCCTGCCCTGCTGCTGGCTGCTTCCACAATGGAGCAGGCTGGGCAGCCGTTGGGCTCTCCCTACTTGGTCCACTGCTGCCAGGGGTCACGGTCCTGTACCTGTCACACAGCTAAAAACTGCCATTTCACATATGGTACAGTTTCTGGATGTTTAAGGTGGGAGAGTCTACCTGTCCCTTGGTACACCACCACGGCAGGAAGCAGAAGTCTTCATGCTTAACACACAGCTACCACTTAAAAATGCCTACTTTCTTACAATAATTTATATACAATGACACTTCTTTACAGGATTATTTCAATGGGATAACACTTGTCAAGTTCTCCCAACTATTAGGACCCCGCCTCTGCACGAGCGCTCTAACATGGAATACTGTTTCCCTCGTGTGCGCTCTCTCGTTACCCTTTCCTGATGAAATCCTTCACTTGCTTGTTAGGACAGCAGCATTTTCCTCCTGTCTCAGTTTTCTAAATATTTAATCAGCTGTCACTTTTGATGGAAAGGTCTGTACTATCACAACACCGACCAGACTTCCACACCGAGGAACCATCACGATACATAACAAGCTGTGTTTTCTGGGAGAAGCCTTTCCTATGTTGTTCACTTGAAAAAAAAAAGTTCTTTTTCTGAATTCTGCATTGACAGGGCTGCTCTCCAGCTCTCGGCCTCGGAGGTGACACCGCCTGACCTCCGACGGCCTACTCTGCGTCCTCTGCTCTCACACTGTTTCTAGATCACATGATTCCTCTGGTGCATCATGAGCTGTGCCTTCCTGTGGAAGGTGGTCCCACATTCACCGCATCCATAGTACTTGTCTCCTGTGTGGATTCTCTGATGCCTCATGAGGTGCGACTTCCTAGTGAAAGACTTCCCACATTCACCACACTCGTAGGGTCTCTCTCCCGTGTGAACCCTCTGATGTATTACAAGCTGTGCCTTCTCAAAGAAGGCCTTCGCACAATCATTGCATCCATAGCTTTTCTCTCCCGTGTGATTTCTCTGATGCTTAACGAGCTGTACTTTCTGAACAAAGGCTTTCCCGCACTCACCGCATTCGTAGGGTTTCTCCCCTGTATGAATTCTCTGGTGCCTAAGAAGCTGCGGCTTCCACGCAAAAGCCTTCCGACATTCACTGCACTCGAAGGGTTTCTCTCCTGTGTGGGTTCTCTGGTGATGAATGAGACTTGACTTCTCACTGAAGGTTTTCCCACATTCCCTGCACTCGTAAGGTTTCTCACCGGTATGTGTCCTCTGATGTGATATCAGGCTGGACTTCTGGGTGAAGGCTTTCCCACACGCGCTGCATTCATAAGGTTTCTCTCCAGTGTGAGTTCTTTGATGTGTCAGGAGCTGTGACTTCCCAAAGAAGGTTTTTCCACATTCAACACATCCATAGGGTTTTTCTCCTAAATGGATTTTTTGATGTCTCATCAGTTCTGATTTCTTAAAGAAGGCCTCTTCACAACTGCTGCACTGATAGTTCTTCTCTCCTGTATGAGTTACCTGGTGTTTGACGAGCTGTGGTTTCCTGATGAAGGCTTCCCCACATTCGCTGCACTCGTAGGGCTTCTCTCCTGTGTGAATCCTCTGATGCCTAATGAGGAGTGAGTTCCTGCTGAAGGCTTTCTTACACTCGCTACATGCATACGGTTTCTTCCCCGTGTGAATTCTCTGATGAGTAATGAGCTGTGACTTCCAAAAGAAGGCTTTTCCACAGTCACTGCATTTATAGGGTTTCTCTCCCGTGTGCGTTCTCTGATGTGTAATGAGCTTCAACTTCTGGGAGAAGGCTTTCCCACAGTCGCTGCAGCCAAAGGGCTTCTCTATTGTGTGGGTTATCTGATGCCTTTTGAGCTGTGACTTCCTGCTGAAGGCTTTCCCACAGTCACCACATCCGTAGGGCTTCTCTCCTGTGTGGGTCCTCTGATGTAAAATGAGCAGCGACTTCCTACTGAAAGCTTTTGGACATTCCCCACAGCCATATGGCTTTTCCCCTGAATGAGTCCTCTCATGAATGGTGAGCAGTGACTTCTGGGAGAAGGCCTTCCCGCAGTCACCACAGCCATAGGGCTTCTCTCCCGTATGAGTCCTCTGATGGGCAACAAGCTGTGACTTCCTGCTGAAAACCCGGCCACACTCCAGGCATGAACAGACCCCTGCGCGTGGCGCCCGGTCTGCACGGAGCCCCGGCTCTCTGATGCTGACTCTTCCACACTTACT